GATATTGCGACCGTTATGGCGCGTGACGTCATAAGTATTAAAAATTGTTACATGTTTTTCGCGATAATATTAACATAACATTAAAGCTGGAATGATAATATGGCGTCAAAGGAGGCACAAGTGTATAGCCGAGCTTTTGTGGGCGGTTAGGGATTGAGTATTCCGATAACTACAAAGGTGACATATAACGCGAGCCGGCCCATTCGTACCGAAGCATGGCTCTCCCACACATGACACCAGACCCTTGTGTTAGGTTGCGACGAGGGGAGAACTATTTGTAATTGAATCCTCCTTATGACATACTAGCCACTCTCTCGCCGTTTCACCCGCTGCTCAGCTACCTTCAATAGTAGCATGATGTTCCATAGCCTATAGCAGTCAGAAATATTGTAGCTATCTATCAGTTAAAGAATTTTGGCAATCCGACCAGCGCGAGCGGTTTCAAATATTACCCCCTACATACAAACGTGAAATTTTTATCCTTTATAATATTAGTTTATATTATAAGTAGGATGTCAATCTAAACGGGAAGATTAAGGACATTAATATGGTCCGCAACTACTTATGGCTCGCATGTAATACGCCACTAAAGACTCACTGTTTCCCAAATTTTATTCGGTACTTTTCTAAAACAGACAGTAACGAACGCAGCAAAATTGGTCCAGGCGTTGTTATGTTATGCTCTTCCCAATTCATGTTTATATCATAATACATATAATAAGATTACATTTTTGTGGTGTAACACTCATAACTGTCGAGTAAAGTAGGTATAACATTTTATGGGTACACCTTTACTCTTTCTGCACATTGACGGTCGTGATGCGAGTTATAAAGCAAACATCTAAAAAGTTGTTTAATCGCAATATGAACTAGATATTTTGAGTTTAATTTTGATAAAAAAAATTAATAAATGCTAGTCACATCTAGCATCTACAAAACACCTAATACTCGTACATCTGTGTTCCTACGTCGCTACGCTAACAATCGTACAGTCAACAAAACAAACTGTGTCAAGTTTATTCATATTTTTATCACTAGATTTTTTGCTACCATTATTTAGAAACGCACCAATTGGTTTTGTTTTTAAGCGAAACCATTTAAAAACAATCGTTTTTTTTTATTTTTCAAACTAGTTATGTCATAAAGTGGTTTTTACCTTACTAATATTATAAATGCAAATTTTACGATATGTTTGGATGTTTGTTACTCAATTACGCCAATACGGCTGGAGGATCTGGATGAAATTTTTTTATCTTACTAATATTATAAATGCAAATGTTACGATATGTTTGGATGTTTGTTACTCAATAACGCCAAAACGGCTGGACGGTTCAGGCACAGGCATAGAATATATTCCGGAATAGGACATAGGCTACTTTTTATCAACACCACGCAGCCGAAGCGGGCGGAAGTTAGTTCTTTACATGATATGGTGGAAAACCAGTTGATGGATTTATCTAATTGTAAGCAATTGCCGCCGCCCATGGTCACTCGCAATACCAGTTGAGTGCCAAGTGTTTTGATGATTTATGGATTGGGAAGGGATGACGAGAAGGATTGGACCTCCGGTAACCCCATTCATACCGCAAAACACAACGCTGTAGTTGTGTCACGCCGATATTCTGTAAGTGCGTAGTTACTTCGGTCGAGCCGACCCATGCGTGCCGAAGCATGGCTCTTTTGGATTGACAATTAACTATAAGCCAGCTCTAATAACCTGCCGGGGTTGCGACTGGACTAGAATAGGAGAAGTAAAGGAGGGGTTTTTAGTCAGTAAGAGTCTGACATTCCCTCCTGTCCTGCCCTGTGCAGGAAGTCATTTGATGATTTTTGAAGTGATTTGGTTGTAGCCTATATAAAACCTAATAGCCTTTAGGTATGTATATATGTATTTGTAGAGTTGCTTTCTAGATGTACAATTTTGATACATTTCGTCTATAGCTTATGTCAACTCTCAATGTTAATCATGTTTTTCTTGAAGGCAAAGTGTTTATAATGGTCTTTAATAAGACCATTTTAGTTACTTTTAATAAATGATTTAACTTTGACAAACAATAGATCGGCAAACAAGCAGACGGATTACCTGATGGTAAGTAATCAGTGCCGCCCATGGACACCCGCAACGGAGGAGTTACGAGTGCGTTGCCGACCTTTTAGGGATTAGGGATTTTAAGATTTAGGGATTGAGGAGGGATTGGGGGTGGGGAAAGATTAGGCCTCCGGTAACCTCACTCACACGGCAAAACACAACGCTGTGGTTGTTTCACGCCGGTTTTTAAATACGTACATTCTTTTGCAAAATATTGGTTCGGGTTTGGGATTGATATGTATGTGAAATTGTATGTTTATAAAAGCGCCCACGATACAGGTAGGGTTCCGTGGTAATGTCAAAAAAATAATAATACAAATGAAACTATTATGCTAATGCTACATATTTTGGGAGCAATATTTTTTTTGTGTATAGTAAAACTAAATTGACTTGTGTAGGTATCTAACTAAATAGATAATTTCTATTGGAACGTATCTGTATTGACGTGTTAAAATAAGAATAAGTAGAGATCTTGCCGTATGCTGCAAGTAAAGTATAACACCTTTTTTTAAGAGATAGGTCGGCAAACTTGCAGGCGTTCCTAGATCCAACTAGACTTAGACTAATCGGCTACATCCACAACACCAATAGAGTTACGAGTCCGTTGCCGACCATTAGGGGATCAAGGTTTCGGATATTTAAAGTTGGGTAGGGATGGAATGAGAAGAAAAGAATTATGCCTCAGGTGTCCACTCGAATGGCAAAACACAACGCTGTGGTTGTACCACGCTGGTTTTCAGTGAGGTGGTGGAAATCACCCCGTCGTGCCGACCAATTCGTGCCGAAACTAGGTTCTCCCACACTCTTTCACACATAATATTGTATTGTATAGCTTTTTTTTTTTTTTTTTCTGCCCAGGTAGGGCAGAGAGGGAGTGTAAGACTCTTACTGACTAGAAGCCACCCCGTTCTCCGTCTCCTGCTCCGAGCTGGGCACATTATTGCGATTGCCACCGCTACCCCGGCTAAAATATTGTTTAGTTAAGGAGTTAGTTTGTTTAAACGCGTTTTTCTCAAAAAATACTGGTTCGATTTGATTATCAAGGATAGGTTACGAAACATTATGCTGCAAGCAAGAAGTGGTGAGAAGCTGGGATAAAAAATCACTTTTAGAAAGCGAGAAATTCGAAAACGTATGTATGTCTATCGGTTAGTCCCTTAATGAAGCCCGTTCCAAAGTGTATGTAGATCCTATGAAGAAGAAAGAGCAAGAAGCTCTATGGTTGGTTACTCTGTCATTTCATTCACTACACTTTGCACTTTCTGACAATTAAATCGTGTCAAGTACAACTGCAAGATCTCTGATTTACCATACCTACATATCTAACACATAAAAATCCAAATCCATCAGTATCCGCCGTACACCGTATAGAATGTGTGCGGACGATTCTGTTGACTGTACCAGTTGACGATAAAAAGGAAGTCACGATACATTAACATGTTGATATTACAAACGTTTGGCCACTAAACTAACGAGGATATATAAACACTATCTTCTCTCACCCGCTGCTCAGCTCCTACAGCTCAAAGTGGGATTTTACAGCCTATAACCTTCCTCGATAAATGGACTAATGAACACAAAAAGAATTGTTCAATTACAATCAGTAGTTCTGAAGATTAGTGCGTTCAACCAAACAAACAAATAGCTCACAATATCTGTACCGTTGGTAAAAAGCCTAAAGCTAAACTTTACCTACTCCTTCCTAAAAGGTCGGCAAGGTGCCTGTGACTCTTCTGGTGCTGCATGTGTCCGCTGATCACTTACCATCAGGTGATCCGTCTGCTCGTTTGCCTCCTATTCCATAAAAGAGACCGGATCTCTTCCTATCACCAAAGTTAAGCAACATCGGGCTAGGTCGATAGTTGGATGGGCGTCTCGAAACATCACGTTGTATTAGCTTCACAAATAGGAGAACGAACAGAGTGGGTTTTGTGAGTCTGACACTCGCTCTCGCCCCATACGGTACAATTACTGCTCTATCTATTTAAAAATACCGCATCAAAATCCGTTGCGTAGTTTGAAAGATTTAATTAAGCCTACATAGGGATATAGGGATAGAGAAAGCGTTTAATACTATGTAGTGATATCTTTTCATGGCCACACCGAACTCGCTTCCGCTTACGCTCAGCTTCGTAATACTGTTAGTCAATACAACGCTCCTAATCATGTGTCACAGATGTAAAATGCGGAGTTATGAGGTATACACGACTGCATATCAAGTTATACAAAACCACTATAATCTTACCTTTGAATGAGCGAAAAGGTCATAGAGAGTGAGACCAAGATATAGTGTTTTTTTGTAAAAGTGTAGTCTACTGGAAAAATGTTAAGTAGAAACTTACGAATATATAGGAAAAGGATAAAAAAATACTTTGGGCTTGTATTTATTCCTCTAGCTATACCAACCGTCATATTTATTAATTGATCGTAGGTATAAAATGCCAATTACCTAAGTTCTTACTTAAGTTTACCTACCTGGTTAAAATATTTATGCCTAGCTAGATGCAATACGTATAAAATATTACGAAAATTCGTTAAAATTCCTTCTTAGCACATAGCAATACCAGCATTGTATATTTAAAACTAATTTATTCATTATTACCATACTTGCACATTGCAAATTAGCATATTACTGAACAATTTTAATTACAACGCCATCTATTTTACAAAACCTAATTAAGTTACCATAATCTACTAAGAGATGTCGCTAAATAATAAAAAAATAATATCTGCACGACCTATTTTGAATTTGGAATAACATTGTGATGACCTTTGCCTTTCAGTTAGCTCAAAAACAATGTTGTTGACATTACGAACTCTACATTCGAAAACAAACCACAACTGTTTCGAATAAGGTTGTATTTTAGTTGATAGTAAATAGTAGTTAAATTATAATGGTTAAAATTTTTACCTTTCATGTGTTCTGACGTGTCGGCTCTCATTATGTCAGTTAAGTAATGTTCTAGCGATCGCATATTGTCTAAACCGCTTCTTTCCTGAAACAATACAGAATAAAAATGTTAACTTCCATTAAACAGAAAAAAAAATAATCCTACCTATAGCCTGATAGATAGGAATCGACAGCCTTATTATCAGGCGGCGACCATAGACGAAATGCTACGCCCGCAAGTCCAATTTAAAATTCCCTATTTATCGAAGTTTAGAAGATGGTATCGTTTCTAAAATATACCTATGTTTTCTAAAGATGCCCAGTTTCGAATTACCGACTGTGAATCAAAATGTTTTTAGCGTTAAGCATTAAATTACTTTTCTCGTCCTGGGTTTTATTTTATGAGGGGAAAATCTACTAATGGAGTATCGGACTCTTACTGACTAAAAACTATCCCGTTGCTTCTCCCGCTGTAAGCCGAGGCTGCGATACATCTATATATGTAAAAGAAAGTCGTGTTAGTTACTCCACTTATAAGTCAACAACATCTGAACCGACTTAACTGAAAATTGGCAGGGAAGTAGTTTAGAGCCAGGAGAAGGACATAGGATAGTATAGCATAGGTAGTGTAGGGTAAGTAGAGTAGGGTAGGTAGGACAGGGTAGGGTAGGGTAAGTAGTGTAGGTTAGGTAGAGTAGGGTAGGTAGGGTAGGGTAGGTAGACTAGGGTAGGCAGAGTAGGGTAGGCAGAGTAGAGTAGGTAGGCTAGGTACATAGAGTAGGGTAGGTAGTGAAGGTAGAGTAGGGTTGGTAAGTAGGGTAGGTGGTCAAATGACGGGAGCGACGCCACGGGTAAGAGCTACGATATATGACCCGCAAGGCCGCAACCCAGGACCAAGCAGCTAGTGACCGATTTTTTTTTTTAAGCTTACCGACCGATCTGTACGTTATTGGGTAAAACCTATATCTTGTGTCACTTGTGGCGAAAATCGTGGTGATGATGATACTCGTCTACTTCTAGGGTCTACTCCTATGGGTCCGAGGCGAAAACATGTAGCTTCCATAAAATTATCAATTTATTTCGCAGAAATAGTAAGTACCTAATACTACAAATTGGTAGTGCGTAGGCGTTGTGGGTAAACACCCACGCGGCTGCCAAGCATAGCTATAGGTACTTCTTTACTCAAATGGAACCGTCGTGTTTCAATCCAGGTAAAAAAAAAAAAATTAAAAAATATTTTTCCAATTGTGCCTACCTGGGTAGGTAGGTAGGTACTTCACAAAACGCAAATAACAATATGGCCGACCAAAAAAAAATAAAATAAAAACTGAATCTAAATCAAAGTTCGAATTTTATTTACCCATAAAAAAGTAATAAAACAAAATATGTTTTCAATTACCTATCGCCATTATTGTCGATACGCCAGTTAAAAGTTTCACGTGCGCAGGTAAACTCGGGGATTCAGTCAATCGTATTTCATTGCAGCATGGCTATACTAAATCTGATTGGTCCCATAAGCTTCCTGCATTCCAATTCGTAATTGAAAACAAACAATCTTCTCGACCTGCGTGACCCAATTTGAATTTGGAATCGCATTGCGTTGGCCTTTCAACCTAGGTGCAGTGTTTAAAAAGAACTAGAATTTTTTAAACGCTCTTTCACATGAGTGCCAACTTTAATACATTGAACTAAAGTTGATTTTCTTTTACCCCCTAACCTTTGGCTATTCACTTCGTATAATTAATTTTCGACGTTATGCTGTAGCGTATAAGATTCAATATAGCTTGGGCCTTCTTCAACGTTATGGCGCAATGCTGTACTGACGTCACACTGCGTAGCGGGAAAATGGGTCAGTAGGTTTACAGTATGGCTTATCGTCCAGTTAAGTTAGACCTCTGATGCAACAAAATAATTGAGATAAGAGGGGTCTTCGCAGCATGGACTTTTTCAGTAATGGCGCCTGAATGATTGATTCGAATATTGATTTTATTTGAATGAATTTTCTGTTTCAATGGATCGTCATTTATATATTTCTTGCATTTTATTGCAGTTTTCTTAATTAAATCGCTTCTAGGAATAGTAATTATAATTGCATGATGAAAATAAGTGGTTAATCATCGCAGTTTCATTGTCATTATATGCAACGTACGTTGTCTCGTTCTATCACAGTGTAACTAACAAGGATAGAGATACCGCTTACGAACTAGAAATTCACATTTCCACATAACATATTTTTACGTTTTTCCCGCCCCAAATATTCAAAAATCGAACGTTTCAATACCATATCTTTTCTGTATAAGTACCTACCTAATTCACGATATTTTTTCAAATACTTTCACGCCTTTACAAGGATGACTTGACATTTTAAGTAAGGGCAGCCATCTTATGTTAAATAGGTCAAAACACTTGGACCCTTGGATTTTGGGGACATTGCGGAAGTTATATGAATGGAGACTTGTGATAAGGGGCGACGTTGATTACGTATACATTTCTACGTAGGGTGGTATATCAGAAGACGGATCGCCTGATGGTAAGCAGCACGACGGCGGCGCCCGTGGAACACCAGAGGAAGTAACAAACACGTTGTCGGTCTTCTGGGCTTGGATTCCGGCCTCCGGTGCCCAGTTCTTGAGAGCCGTATTTCTACCTGTAATGGCTAGTTCGATCATAGGAGCCATGGCCTCACAGAAAATTGACGAAAACAACTCTTTCATTGTGTTTCGTCGTGTGAATGAGGTTACCGGAGGTCCAAACCTCCCTATCACATTCATGCTAAATCTCCAAGTTGCCCAATTCTTAAAACCCTTTTCCCTCATAAGGCTGACGAGGGGTTACCATCAAGTAATTCCTCTCGTCGTTTGCCAACCAAACAAATAATAAAAAATCAATTGAATATTACGACTGGTGTTTAATTATTTCTTAGTAGCTTTTGCCGACTTTGTTCGCGTGGAATAGTGACTTCCTTTAAAATGTTGGTTTAGAAACTATCCTATGTCCTTTCTCGAGTTTCAAACTATGTCTGTACCAAATTTCACACAAATAGGTTAAGTAGTTTAGGCATAAAGAAAAGACAGATAGATAGACAGAGAGAGTTACTTTCGCATTTATAATATTAGTTTGGACGTTTGGATAGATAATAGATAGATTGAAGAGAATAATTGTTCGGTTTTTCAAAATTAATTTTTCAAAAACCGAACAATTTTTAACGGTTGAACTTGACAGTTGTCGAGCCACGAGCTAATGACGGATTGAACATCAAAAATGTACTAAAATAAACATAAAATACCGTTAAGGAAGTATACAAAAATAGAATAACTTAACTGAAAGACAGATCCTGTTATAATTCGTTACGGAAGATATTCTCCATGCTAACATTAGCTCATGACGATACCTAAGTACGTGTGTCGCCTGGACAGTCACCGCTACCATCAGTTGACTGGACAATCTCTTTACATGAACTGCTGTTTACATGTGAACATTAGCTCATGACAATACCTAAGTACGTGTGTCGCCTGGACAGTCACCGCTACCATCAGTTGACTGGACAATCTCTTTACATGAGCTGCTGTTTACATGTGAACATTAGCTCATGACGATACCTAAGTACGTGTGTCGCCTGGACAGTCACCGCTACCATCAGTTGACTGGACAATCTCTTTACATGAACTGCTGTTTACATGTGAACATTAGCTCATGACAATACCTAAGTACGTGTGTCGCCTGGACAGTCACCGCTACCATCAGTTGACTGGACAATCTCTTTACATGAGCTGCTGTTTACATGTGAACATTAGCTCATGACGATACCTAAGTACGTGTGTCGCCTGGACAGTCACCGCTACCATCAGTTGACTGGACAATCTCTTTACATGAGCTGCTGTTTACATGTGAACATTAGCTCATGACGATACCTAAGTACGTGTGTCGCCTGGACAGTCACCGCTACCATCAGTTGACTGGACAATCTCTTTACATGAGCTGCTGTTTACATGTGAACATTAGCTCATGACGATACCTAAGTACGTGTGTCGCCTGGACAGTCACCGCTACCATCAGTTGACTGGACAATCTCTTTACATGAGCTGCTGTTTACATGTGAATATTAGCTCACGACGATACCTAAGTACGTGTGTCGCCTGGACAGTCACCGCTACCATCAGTTGACTGGACAATCTCTTTACATGAGCTGCTGTTTACATGTGAATATTAGCTCACGACGATACCTAAGTACGTGTGTCGCCTGGACAGTCACCGCTACCATCAGTTGACTGGACAATCTCTTTACATGAGCTGCTGTTTACATGTGAACATTAGCTCATGACGATACCTAAGTACGTGTGTCGCCTGGACAGTCACCGCTACCATCAGTTGACTGGACAATCTCTTTACATGAGCTGCTGTTTACATGTGAACATTAGCTCATGACGATACCTAAGTACGTGTGTCGCCTGGACAGTCACCGCTACCATCAGTTGACTGGACAATCTCTTTACATGAGCTGCTGTTTACATGTGAACATTAGCTCATGACGATACCTAAGTACGTGTGTCGCCTGGACAGTCACCGCTACCATCAGTTGACTGGACAATCTCTTTACATGAGCTGCTGTTTACATGTGAACATTAGCTCATGACGATACCTAAGTACGTGTGTCGCCTGGACAGTCACCGCTACCATCAGTTGACTGGACAATCTCTTTACATGAGCTGCTGTTTACGTGTGAACATTAGCTCACAACGATACCTAAGTACGTGTGTCGCCTGGACAGTCACCGCTACCATCAGTTGACTGGACAATCTCTTTACATGAGCTGCTGTTTACATGTGAACATTAGCTCATGACGATACCTAAGTACGTGTGTCGCCTGGACAGTCACCGCTACCATCAGTTGACTGGACAATCTCTTTACATGAGCTGCTGTTTACATGTGAACATTAGCTCATGACGATACCTAAGTACGTGTGTCGCCTGGACAGTCACCGCTACCATCAGTTGACTGGACAATCTCTTTACATGAGCTGCTGTTTACATGTAAACATTAGCTCATGACGATACCTAAGTACGTGTGTCGCCTGGACAGTCACCGCTACCATCAGTTGACTGGAC